GCCTTCAGAACACATTGTGCTAACCCGTCGCTGTCTTCACAGCACCAGTTTTGTCTAGCAGAGTGTCTGAACTCCAACTTCCAAACTCACCTGAATGCCAACCGCGAGCCCATTCTCTGTTCTACTTTGCTGGTGCGGTCCCTTCGTTGGCGACTTGGTGAGACGGGTCGGGCTTCCCAAGCAAGCGGCAACATTATGATATTGACAGCTTTAACTTGTCCTGGGCTTGCGCTTGTCACTAAAATGATCTTGTTGCTTTTTGACTGTTGGCGGTTTACTTATATACCAGTGCTCAAAAGGCCTGTTGTGGCTATTACGGGGTTGGCTTCGAGGCTCTGTGTTCGCATCAGTCGGAAGGGCCTCTCAGTGGCTCCCGGCGAAGGTTAGTGTTGCCAAGAACGAGACATGATTTCGCCCAAAAAGGAAACAGGAGGAGCTCGTGGTGACTTTGGAAGCAATGCTTCGAGCATCGGAGAACTGGGCTTGTGGGGCGCTAAGCACCTCGGTAAACCATGGAGGGTTTGGAGTTTTGCAACTCGGTGCTCCTGCCTCCTGATGCACGAGGTCTCTCAATAGACATGCCACTCTGCATCTCGAGAAGCCCACATGCATCGAGGTTTTTATAAAAACCCATAGAGGTCTTTATAAAGGTTTTTATAAAAACCTCTATGAATTCCTAAAGACATCGGACTTCCTCATCGGGAATCGGCCTGTTGGGCTGCGATGGCACGGCCGCGACTGTGAGAGCGACTACTACGCTTCAGTCTTGCGTCCCTAAGTGCTGAGACAGTGTCTTTCAATGCTGCGTTTTGCTGTGATCTTGTGAAGTTCCCATGTCAAGGATGCCCACTGATGCACTGACGAATGTAGCAAACCTGTTTCCAAGAGAGGCCTGCACTGCTTTGATGTTGCAGCGCTGTTCTAAGCTCGGCGATCGTCTTGTTTGGTCCCTCGTGTGCATATTGCCGACATTGAACGAAGCAACGCTCTTGATGCAAGTGTGTTCTGAGTGCTGTTTCTGCTTGTACAGTCATGTTCAGGCTTTGCTTTACCACCCCATCTGTTTTCCTGCTTGTGGCTTTGGCGAAGATGTTAGACCATCATCCTTGGTGTGGGGTTGACGTGTGCTTTGCTATCTTTCATTGCGAGGCTGTCAAACCATCCTGCTTTCTTCCTCTGAGTCTCTTTCTCCACCACCAGCCCTTGGCGGCAACATCATCATAATCATCGGCAACATGATGGGAATAGGAGAGTTGCGTCCAATATCATCCTGCATTGCCATGCCTTCCTCATCCAGGCTGCAACGTTACTCGAAGGGACGCTGCTGGCTTACCAGCCACACCACAGGCCCTGTCTGCAGAAGCTCTGACCAGGAAAACCTACTACCGATATCAGATATCTAATGTGCAGCCACCAGCTCGAAACAGCTTGCACAAGGAGAGTGCCTATCGACAGACGCTATCGCAAATCACGCTGCGAGGGTGTCGCAGCCCCCATTGCTCGCCGGCCGACCTCAGATGAACAGCAACAAGACACGGGAGTTGTGCAACGCACATGTCGTGATTGCAGAGTGGAAGTGCGTGCACTTCGGTGGGCTGTACTGCGTTTGGAAACCTTTCACTGAAGATAAGGATTAAGCGAGCATGTTGAAGAAGTTCGCTTGATGCTCCTATCTCGTCACAAAGTCTGTGCCCATAGCCTGAAAATTCAATCTGTCGAAACAGCCTTGACAGGGTACCGGGGAGAGGACGGAGTACAGGGCAAAGGCACATGATTGTCGACGCCTACGGCAGACACCGAAATACAGGCCCATGTGTCTCCAAAATTGTAAAGTATTGGAAAGATGAAATGATCCCCGCCCCGGCAGCTCCGGAGAAATACTGCCAATCTCAACCATGAACCACGACCTCAAAACGCGAAGGCCGCGAAAATCCTGCCATGGGACTTTGTTGAGCGGGCCTGCGCCCGGAGGGGCGCGCCTCCAATCGGTGCTCGGGCACTAGCATTGTCGTTGTATGATGCAGGACCGGTATGAAGATTGGTCAGGATCAATGAAACTCCAGGTGATTTCGGGCACATGAGCAACATAGCGGGCTCACTCTACGCCGGCACTCCATGTATACATTGAAGTTCTGACACCGGCCTGTCCAAGGTCCGATAGGGCCGCGCACTTCATATCAAAGCTCGGCTTTGCGCTGCCGGCGTGCAAATTTTCCACGCCCTCAAGACTCTTCATGTGCAATGCAGGTGTCTTAGGGTGTCTTCAGCCCGGAACCGTTTCATCGTCACGTTTCACTCAACCCCCTCTTCCGAGGCATACCCTGCACCCAAGACAGGACGTTCCATGTTATCCCAAGGAGCATAATGTGAGACAAGAGAACCTAAGACAGTACACCTTTCTTGAATATAATATTCATACATATATACAACGAGGTTGAAGCTGAAGAGCCGAAGAGCCCGAGCTCCTGAGGAAGAAAGCGAAACCTTTGCCGGCATGGAAACTCCCGACGCCAGAACTGCTCAAAACCCCCCCCCATGCGGCAGGGGTAACAACTTCACCAAGGCCTTTGCGGCATCGTCAAGGGAGCCATGTTCCGCAGCGAAAGCAACTGAGGCTTCAGCTAGGTACGAGGGTTAAGGATCTCGGGTTGCAGTGGAGAGGCCTGGTGTTTTGCGTTTGCGGCTCTGATGTCTCGTTTCTAGGAGTGTCAGGAAGCAGCTCTTTCAATTTCGCGGTCTGAGTTTAAAATACAAGCTGTCCAAACTGCTTCGTACTCTCAACTCGGATGCATTAGTAGTTGCTTTCAAGGCGCGACATCGCCAAAGCTGTCGGACTCAGAACGACGGAAAAGCCCGTAGTTCGGACTTTTACAAGTGCAACGCCTGAACTTGAACCTCGGGGGCCCTAAGTCTCCGTGGCGTGACAGCAGCACGCATCATTCCACTGAGGATGCGGCTCCCGCTGTGCCAATGGAGGGGGCTGACCTCGTGTGTGCGTCCTGTTCTCATTCGTGCCTGTGCTGCCTTGTTGGGCCCTGTTGTGGGCGCGGCGCGGGGGAGCCGTGTTTTGTTTTTGTTCCTACATCATTCAGTGCATCTTGCCAGTGCTGGTGCTTGGCATTGCAACATCCACATATGTCAGCCTCGGAAGTGCAAAATGTGATGTTGATGAATCTTATGAAGCCAAGAGCGAGCGAGAGCGAAAGACAAAGAGAGAGGTATCTTGTCGTCTTTATGCGTCGATGCTTAGTGCAGACACATCGAAGCTTAAACTTGGGTCCCACGTTCAACTGCGAGCGGGGGTTGGGAAACCCGGGCGACCTCGTGCCTTCAAGCCGTGGCATAACCACAATCCCCAAAACACCAAACGCCCGCAGCTCAAACTCCGCTGTTTCATACGTGGCTGAGCAGTGTCGCGAGGTCTTTTAATAAACCTTCAAGGCGAGCCTGTGAGCAGCGGTAGGCTTGTTCCAGTCCTACTGAAGTCTGGGCCACCGCAACGAGCAATCAATGGCAAATCAACCTACTTCCACAGAGCGCACGCGAGGTTGTGAAGATGAGGTGCTCTGAAAACGTGTCAAGATCCAGGCTAACTTCAGGGGTTCGGCCGTCTTAGAACAGTCGGCTCAAGTCCACACCTTGAGCTTTTGACAACGGCAAGTCATGCACCTTCAACAGATCGACCCACCGTGCAAGCAGGAGCACAGCCCCGAAATTCTTCCCCCCACTGCACAGCGCTTCGGGCGAGCGAACTGCAGCATTCACCCTTTGATTTGGCTCCGTCATTCCGGCCTATTCCGCCACACCCTGCCCAAGCCCTCCTACAGACCCGAACCCTGAATCCCAATGGCTAAACCTTTCAAGTTAGACTCATGCTTTGGGATGTGTAGGCTCTCTAAGGCAAGGGCGCAGAATGGCCCAGTGCGGGAAGGGCCCTGGCAAGGCTGCGTGTTTCGGGGTTTGGGTTGCAACACTCTGGGCTGCAAAGAAGGTTCCATTCTTGGTCCAGGTTTTGGAGTCGTCAAGCTCTTAAAAGTTGAAGGTCAGTTTTTTGAGCTCTAGGACTTAGGAATAGTTATTTCATGACAGAACCTGAGCTTAGCATGTAGGCTGCGTGTAACATGTTCTGTGCCGACACATTTCGAACAAGTCTGGGAAGAGTGCTTTGAGTATTGGCTTGTGCAACTAAAAACTAGTAGTAACCTAGGATTGCGGAACTATGCAGCGCCCTTCAATGATGACGACACATCACGCCCACGAACGCTCACCCCTGCGGTGTGCACTGCGGATGCCTTTTCTATGCTCCTCCGACTCAAACCAAACAGGCTGTGCAGAACGTGCTCCTCTTGGGAACGATCCGGCCTGAGAAGATCCCAGCATAACTGGGTGTTTGAATAGGGAAACATGTTTTCGAAGGTTCGAGGGGTGAACCTGGCCCTGCGTTTTCGCACATTCCATTGCCTAGTAATCAGTGGGGTGCCTCTGTCAAAACTTGACGGGCTTGCGTGCTGTTCGACAAGTCATGTTGAAACGAGGATCCCAACACAAAGAACCGTTTTATCGAGAATAAACAGAAACTCCTAGCGCGAAATAGTGTCCAGCTTGCGTGTCTAGTTGTCGTCCGTTGAATTGCAGTGTCCTTCGAGTACGGAGGAAGGATAAGGCTTTGGAAAAATGTCGTGTCAGCTCAGGCCTAACAGTTTTCCGGGTTGACTTTGCAGCTTTGCACGTGGGACTGCTCGACGATTCGTTGACTGGCTTATTTTGATCAGCTAAATCGGACAGGAGCACACATAAACAAACATCTGACCTTGGTAGATACTAGGGAGCTGCGTGATGTGCTAGACAAGGCCACCTGCGACTTTCGTCCGGCAGCAAGATGTAGCTCCCGACAATGTTCTCATGAAAAAGCAAACTCGAAATCACGACAGCAAAGGTGCCCACCGATTCCATCGTTTCATTGAGGCTCATCAGGTCAAGAGTAAGGGCATGGCTCTCAGATCCTGCCGTCAGCGCAGTAGAAGACGAGCTGGCCTCTTTCGCTTGCAGGGTTCGTTCTTCGGTTTCAGAAAACAGAAGCAAGGCTCGAGGGCTTGGAGTGATGGTAATGGGGTTTCGGATGTCGAATGCTGAAACAGAGCTACTTTTTGGACCCTCATGTGGGTGTTCGGACTTTGATGACTTACTGCTCAACCCAAACCCGTTGCTGCCTCGAGCTCTTCAAACAAGGACACTGCGTATACATGTGTGCCTGCATGTCGTGTAACTCGTGTCAACGAGACTTGCTCGACACGAGCTAAGCTCTCCTAACCCGCTAACACGCTCTTGCATGGGCAGACCTTTAGCACCGGAACTCGTGCGAGACATGCTCCCATACGTGTCCGCCAATAGGATGCTCAAACCCAGGTAGCCTAATTACCAAAGGCCCTAAACACCTGCGCCACTCTGACAACTTGACATTCCTGCGGCAGTCCACAGAATTGGGACCAATCAAACAATCGTAGAGCTGGAAAGCGGCTCTTTGCAAGATCCAGCGACCACGATGCAGTGCAGATGAAAGATTTGCTGAACGACAGCAACCTTCGTCAAGAGCCATCAAGAGCCTGTCTATACTGGTTACAATAGTATGAGGTCCCATGAGATCACCACATCCTGTGCAGCCTTTCACCCGCATCCACAGCTCAAACATCCGGCTGAGAAGTTGCGAAAGATACGGGCATCCCAAAAAAGGCACTGAACATCCTGTTTTCTTGGTCAGAGTTGAAGCTGAAGCTATCCATACTTGCGGCGAGGGAGTGGGAGGGCAGGAGATATCAGGCAGCTCGGATAAAAGAAGCTCTGAAATTGGCAACTTCCAGAGTGAAGTGCTGACAACGGACGCCCTACTCAGAAGGTGTTCAGGCAGAGTATCAGATCACTGTGCAGGCTATCCAGGAAGAGCTTTCCCTGAGCGGGGCCGGATACGTAGTATCTGCGTAAGAGGGCAAGGAGGGATTACCTGCACCTGCGTACAACCCTAAAAACCCAAAAACCCTGAAAAACGCCGTACTCCGAAACCGAATTATAACTATAGTATAATGGGGCCCGAAACCCTACTCTACTTATTTAATGAAACCGAGGACCCAGGGCACTTCTTCGCAAAAAATCACCGCCCTCTGGCGCCTTCAGAGCCGGGCGTGGGCCCTTCAGAGGCGGCCGGGAGTGGACGGCCGGGAAAGTGTCGGCTTGTTTTGGGGGTATGAGAGTGATAGGGCCGGTGAGGGTGAGGGTGGCGTGTCTGTTGAAGAGGTTAGATGTCAGATATTGCAGGGTTTCTGGATTCATCGAGAGTCGGTCTTATCCAAATCTGACGTTTCGCGTGTGCGCGAGCGCGCGGGACTCCCTTAAAGCCCCTGCGACGCAAACTCACATCTTCAACTCCTGAACGCAGGCTCCTGGGCTAAGCTCTCGAGCTCGTTTCGCTGAAGGGAAGGGTATAGACGATTCCGGATGTGGCACTGTACCGGCAAAAGAGTTCAAGGCCTAGGGCCTAGAGCTTAAGACATCGGGTAGTAATTGTTCGGGCCAGGAACTGAAAGCAACACAGGACTGACTCTGCCTCTGTCGGACTCTATCGACTCGCCACTTCCTGATTGACCCGTTGGTCTGCGCAGCAGAAACCAGGCTGGTGATTTTGGTGCCTGTCTGGCGAACCATCTTAATCGTCCCTGAGAATCTCGAGTCCTCTCGCCCCTTCAACCGCACATCCCGTAAGCCGCTTGTGCCTCGAAACTGGGGGGTAACCTCGGCAGTGCTTGCATGTGCTGCCTTTCATTTAGCATAAGTGTACTTGCGGTTGGAACCCAGAACTGCAACTCTGTCGCACAGAACTCCTTGCAGTCCAAGCCCTACATGCAGAGAACCATTTCAAGAGGAGCACGGTGGCTCGCAAGACTACCCTATAAATCCATCATGCGCGCCGAACTGTAGGGGGTGCACGATTGCCATGGAAGGCCCAGAACAGTTAGTGTCCCTTGGAACGGTGCGGTTTCGAGACCACAGCGAGGAGCCCCGAGGAGCCTCGTAGCGCGGTCCTACGAGCCGGTGCCTCGATTCGAGTCGAATAGGAGCCGCGGAACCTGGAGCTAAACGAATCCCGCTACTCTGAACCCCCACACTGTTGACACGCTGGACCTGGGGATAAAGTCACACCGGCGCAGGCTTTCGGGATGTTCACGGCTCCAACCAGGAGAACGGAGCCCCGCACTTTGGACTCAGTGGTCTCTGAACCCGGAAGTCTCTTTCGTAGGGTTTGGCCACCCGAGGATTTTTTCCGAAGCCTTCCAAGCCGTAGAAGTACGACGCACAACACGATTCAAGCTGTTGATTGAGCTATTGGAATTGGATCAAGAGTCTCGTCTCACCCCAGACAAGCCCGAACGAGGCGATCCCTGCTTCAAATCTCTTCTTCACTTGAAGATCTTAAGAGTCCTACGCGATTTTCCCCAACACTTTTCCCACCGCCCCGAACTACGCCTACACCCTGTCATGAGCAGCCGGCGCCGGCGTGTTGGAGTCGCCTTCGAAGCTCCTCTCAGGATGGCACATGTAGGGTTTGCTTACTAAAGCATTTTTTTTGACTCCGTGCTGGGATTCTTTATTCACTTTGGGGATTGCATGTTAAGACTTTTAAAGGAGTCCGCGCTGCAGACTTTGCAGTTGACAATATGAAGCCTCAGATCTAGGAGTAAACATTGGGAATGTGCCACATCCTCGGGACTGGAAGCTCTTTAAGATCAAAGCTTGACTATGCAGATTCTAGCAAAGTTATACCCAAGGTGCTGCGCAAAAAAGCCTTTGAGATCGCTTTCTCTGGGATGGAGTGGGTTTTCGAAAGCCACTCAAAGACGCTCGTCTGTGAAGGCTCACTTCATTGAAGGAGCCGGGCCTGGGACCAAAAGGCTGAACTGGGAGTTTCCGAAAATAGGGGACCCTAATATAGTACCCTGAACAGTAGGATCCCCATTATAAGGAACCCATAAGAGGGTACCCTAATGTTCGGAAACTCCCAACTCTGAACTTGGGCCCATTGCTGTCCGGAAGAACGAAAGAACGCCCAGGACTGGGACTATCAATAGTCCTGGCCTTGGATTAATGGGGTTAGCCGAACCCCAAAGCTAGTCATGCCAGTGGCCGAAAATCTCGATGCTATTCATCAGAAGCCTAGTTTCTAGATGCGGTGAAAGCTAGGGCGGACTGTGTGCAGCTACCTTTGTCGATGCACCTGAACTTTGCGATTAAAGGCCGGTAAGTCCAAAGTTAGAGGCGTTGTGTCGTAGCATTTTCCTAAGGGTAACATTAACATCAACACGAAACGCAGGGAAGCGCGGGTTGTCTGTTTCTTCGCACACTCTGAAGATGCAAAACGCATCTGGCCTCGCATTGCCTTTGAGGTGGTTGACGTCCGAAATGAAACCATCCAATACCTGGGGTCAGCACGCCAACGTGAACGGCCGTCCCGAAAGATTTCAAGCAGTTCTCGCAAGCCCACACAAATCAAGCCATAGGCAAGACTGTAGTGGTTTCCCTCGTCTACACTTGGGCAACATTCTCGCGTGTTAAGCCTGACCCAGGACGAGCCGAATTCCGATCCACAAGGCCTTCAATCCGTCTAGGCATCCCAAACATCAGCTGTCGGCAGCACTCAGCGTGCACAAGAATTCTGGGGATGTGCATGTTGCATGTCTTTCTGTTAGACCGCTATTTGTTCTCTCGGCTTCACTCTATTGGCGCTGCTGGACCACGCTTAGGTTTCAGGCTTTTGCACATATACAGTAGTGTGTGTATGTATGTATGTATATATATATATACACACACTCATGCTCTTGCGATACAAATGGACATTTAGTCATTATACCACCATACATCTGTGCTTCAAGGCTAATTAACGGGCTCGAATTGAAGAGCGTGCTAAGATTGCGGGCGCTGTCTGACACATAACATCCACAGAAAGTGATCATGAAGCGTTGTGCAAGCTTGGAAAAACGGACAGGAAAGTCGGTGAAAGTATACGCATGGGTACTCAGACTTGTATGACTGGTCTATGGCCAACTTATAGGTGGTTTGACCGGTTCTGCAGTATGTTTTTTTGCTCAATACTCGCACATGACTGGTTTCGTTCTATAGACGAAGACCTGAGTATATACATATTATAAACATACCTACTCTCATGTGTGTATGCATGTATGGATGCGCACACACCATTATATATTTCTACACACACACACACATGCACTTAGGTATCCGTTTGCGCATGCTGTCGAGACATCTATTCTCAGAGCGCCCCATGTAGACTCGCGAACATCTGCGACAGGCGGTGTGTATTGGACCCTGACTAGGGTACGCCCCTGTAGCAGCTTCTTCCATATGAGGGGTTCTGCCTCACCTGCGATACTGGCTCCGCATTAGGCCCTTACTACAGTCTCGAAGGCCTCAAACCTAGCATTGGCACCTTGCAGAATAGGGCAATGGGAATGTAGTGCTACAGCTGTATGTAGGTTGTAAAGACTTTTGCTTCAACATATTGAGGCTTCTGTCATATCAGCATCCCTAGTCACCGAAACCCAGCTACGATGAACAGTGCCTTCATCTGGCAGTCCATGTTGCTGCGGGTGCGCTTGATCATGCGCCTGACGGAAGCCATTGAGAATTCCGGGCTTCAGTAAGGCGTGTGGTCAAGAATGGATGGACTGAAGAGCAGGGCGAGGGCTTGGATGGCTGTGGTTGTGATCTCTGCTGCTCGCTAAAGTTCGCTGTGGCTGTCTTCTGTACAGGTGCAGGGCAACTCGAACTTGCGACTGAAGGAGGAGCATCGTCCTGGTGGCTCCAAAAGAAAAACCCTAGACCCAGGCCGAATCGTCATGACATCTTCATGCTGAAACTCCCTGGACAGAATGCACCTGCAGAATTGAGATCTTGCCAATCATGTCTGGATTAGGGTAGGGCGGTTAGGGTTCAAGGCTTGGGGTAATCAATCGTCCGAATCTCGCCTCAGCTCTTCCAGCGAGTCATCTAGCTCAAGCTTGGTGGCTTCTCGCAGCAGCTCGCCTGCGTGCTCTCGGCCGTCCAGTGGACGACTCGGGGGCTTGGGATGTCCAAGCATAACGACAACGACAAAACGACAAGGATGATGATGACTCCGCCACATCGCGGCTTAGGGCTGCAGCTCCTGTTTCGGAACTTTCGAATCCTTCTGCTTCCACGATGCCAAACATGTCTCACTCGAGCTGAGTCGACAGCTGTAGTCTGCTGGCTTCGTCTCGATGGCTAAGAGCTCATCCTGTTGAGTTGTAGATAAGATTTTTTAATAAGAGTTTTTTTTTAAAAAAAACTTATGAGTTGTAGATAAGAGCACAGTGGCGAGATGAGCCACACGCTCTGATGGCAATCGGCTCCTGAACGGACTTGTGCCCTTCTTCTTGAAGACTCTACCGAGCCAGAGCTCGAGACATGCCATGAAACATGCACATGTCCGACTCCGAAACCTCAAACTCGGAATTCGCCGCAACCAACTCCTCAGCTTCAGCTTCCCCGAAGGTCCTCGTTGTGCTTGGGCCGAGCTTTCCGTCGCCTAAATGGCTGTGTTCAGGCTTTGTGGGGTTTAGTGTGTTCAGGAGCGCAGGACCTAGGCTCTCTATGTCGCAGGAGCTGTAGGTCCGACGGGCAGGAGCTGCGGTAGCTTGTGAAGAGGATCATTGCCGCTGCGTTGTTGACTAGTATTGATCCTTTCAACATGCTGCAATAGACCATTGTAGTGTCATGGCCAGCAGTCGACGGCGGCTTTGTGCAGCGCCCTCACGGTTGCGGACCCAACCGACAGTATATTGGGACGTGTCTTGCGGCTGAAGATTGCAATCGCTGACGCTCACAGGGGCGGATGTGCTTGCAGCCTTTTGGGTGAAGCTTTCGTTGCGTTGCGACAGCAGCAGTCGTGCTATCGAGACTCTCTTGGCTCGAGACAAGGGGGATCCATTGAACCCCACCGTTTTTAGACTGGTCTGCTATGCAGGTCAGATCTGACACAAGCGCAACGAAGGAAGAAAAAGCGGTCCTACCAGTCACTGCACGATCAGTGTCTTTGCACATACCGGTACGTCGCGAGCTCTCCATTCCCAAGACTTCTATTAAGTAGCACGGGACCCGCAGTTAGGCAGTCTTCGTCATGACACCTCGTCCCTCAGCCCTGCTACCCAATGGGGTTCGTGTATGTTTTTTCTTCACTCTGCTGGGTTTGGACCGGAGCTTCTTGTCTCCGGCTTGGTCGCAGGCACGAGACTACATTCGGGATGTGCATCAAGCACTTCTTGTTGCTGCCTCGTCAGGCGTATGCATAATCATGCAAACAAGCAACATGGGGATAATACTATCTGCGCGACTTGATCTCACAACACCAACGAGCGGAGGCCCCTTTGCCAAACTTTGGTTGTTCGTTGGCCTGTGGTGTAAGGATTAAAACCCGGGGTTTAGGGTTTAGAGTAGGGTGTTCGGTTTGGGCTCCGGGTCCGGGCCTGAGGGTCTTGCGCATCGAAAGACTTATCTTCTTCGGAAAAAAAACTCTTCGATCTCAGATTTCCTCAGGGACGATGCAGAAAACTTAGATCTGCTGAGTTGCAACGCTTGGCAGCCAGAACCCTAAACCTCACCACCCAACGAAACCCAAACCCGAAACTCTAAACTCTAGACCCCTAAACTCCTAAACCCGGAACTGCCCGGACCCAACTCAGCCCTGGCGCTTGGGAGGCGCTGGAAGCGCCAGCTGCGCATGATCCTGGCCAATCTCGCTTGCTATAATGGTTCAGGGTTTGGGGTTTAGGGTTTTAGGGTTGCTCTGAATGTCAAACGACAATATTCCCATATACCACGAAATTCTGTTCTGCTTGTTGGAGGTCGGGATTCCTTGCAGAAAGGGCTTCGTAATTACGATCCTGGTGCACCTTCGGAACCCTCTCTGAAATCCGGATGCTGGATTTGTTGGGGTGGGCTGGGGATGTTTTTGCGGGGTCCGGACCCGGGTGTTTCGGGTTCCGTTCCGTGTTTTCGGGTATTCCAGATCTGGGTCTGGGCATTTCGGGTTCGGGGTTGGGGTGGAGAGGGATCCGGGTGATTAAGGATGGGAAAAGCGATGTTGTGGTGGGCTGAACTGATTAGTGTGCTTGTGCTGAACCAGGCTTGACGGGACAAGCCGCACAATACATAAATTCCGGATGCTTCGTGACGAACATCTCTGAAAGCTGCAAGCTCGTTGTTTCCAGATGTTGCCTGATAAGAACATGAGGCCGACACTGATGCAGGGATTCATCCTCTTCGGAGTTTCGCGATTTTTAATAATTTTTGGTGGCTTCTCGTGTTCAGTTTTCAGTATGCTCACGTGTAGGGCGCTGTTGCATGGAAGCTTGACCCCTGGCCTGCAGTCGACCTTCTAGGTCGACGCCAGTAAGGAAGGCCATGGCATCCGCAGATGAAGCTGTTGGTGTTGGAACAAGAGGGTCTCTTCCCAGGGTTCGGGAGATGAGGGCTGAAGGTGTCGAGGTTTCGGCTTAAACGGTGTGGGGCAGGACGTGGAACATTTCGGGCTAGGGGCTGAGGTTGGGAGCATGGTCCATGTGTGTCACTTGCAGGGGCGGCGACGTTCGCAATGTCTCAGGATCTCAGACAATGTGCAGCTTCAGGCTTCTGCGAAGGAGGTCTGGAAAGCAAATTATGCGTAGTTCGCTCGGACCTGTGAGATTCGATGTGCAGGGCAGCAAACCCTAAAATATTTTTGCGACAGCAGGCTCGTCGGCAAGTGGTATGAGGCAGGCTCGCTGATACGAAGACCTCGGCTGTGTGTTGGGGCTTCGGGTTTCGGGCGTAGGGCCTTCGAGCTTCAGATGCTTAGCCTGTCAATGGCGCCCCAAGGACAGGGATAACCGTCATCTCCTCCACTCTCATATGGTCTTGGAGTAGACTCCCCCCTGTGTTCGCATACAGAAGCTACATGACCCAATACAATTCGCCTGAGATCTATATCACTTCTGCACCGCTATGTTTCCTCTACTGTAGATCCGAGGTCTCTAAATATGCCCCAACCCTGTCTGAAGGCATGGACATACGAATCTGGACTGCCGGACTGGGTTTGAGTGGTTGTTCTACAGCACCTTTGCTGCTCACCCATTCTAAGCGATCGACCCTTCGTTTAATCTGTGCTGGCTCAACGTTTACTTCTGATCCTTCGCGACTAACCTGGGAGGATTGAAATATTGACCAGGGTTGGTTAAAGGGAGATATGCAAGTACTCTCCAGGCCGAGGCACGCGTTTCATTTAGAAGCTTCGACAGGATGTTGCGCACGGTGCTAGAAACGTCGATGTCCACCTGTGGATGCGTGGGCTTTTGGCTTTGAGACTTGGCTCTGGGTATCGCAACTTGACTCAGCCAGTAAAGGCCCGTGGAGTCGACACCCTATTGCGCCTTGCATTGCAACTCTTAAAGTCTGAATCGCTTTATTCTGTGGTCGGTCAACGCTACACATGTCTGCAGCTTTGTCACATCAGCCAGCTCCAGCACAGCGTCCAGAATGTGTCGGACCTGTTTGAGGGATGGGTGACAGGATATGAAATGTCGATGCCTGGGAGGGAATCTGAGACGGGGGTCTTTGCGGTGGAGGTGTAGGGAAGCCTCTTGCGAAATCGATGGTCTGGTGACTGGCAACCGCACGAGATTGAAGCGCATTCAAGGCTTGAAGCTCGCGGCTTCGGGCTCACCCAAATTCCTTCCACGGCACCTTCCGCTGCTTTCGGCTCATCATGGTGCGTGAAGGGTAGAACTCGACCTCAACCCAGATTTAAAGTCTCTGTAGCTTAATGCTACGGAGGTTGAGGCTTTCTTGATTTCTTGCATGCCTTCAGGTCATGGCTTTGAGAGTGAAGCATTCCGGGCCCGGACATTTGAGCCCAAAGCTGTTGTCCAACCCCGTCCACGGTGCTCACCATGCCTTATTAGCCAGCTGGACCCCTCAGGCTGACTTCTGACTTAGTCAGCCAATGCTGAACTGCTAGTCTGGCTCAGTTCGAGGTCCATTTACCCTGTTCCTGCGCATTGAAGACTCCGCACCCAAAAGTCGTCTATGAGAGCCAGCGGTGAAACCAAACTTTCTCCAAGATGCCGGTGGATCTGCTGGATAGCCTCAAGGGCTCAGGTTCCCGACTTCATCCGTTCGGGTGTCTGGGGTCTGGGAGTAAGACTCCAAGGAAAGGACTGAACGACTTTCGGGTTTACGGTTTAGGACAGAGGCTGGCTTTCGGCTTCGGGATCGCTACAGGTGCTAGCAGCATGTCTCCTCCGTTTGCTGCGCGAACTCTCAGTCAAACGAAGCTTGAAAGACTTCACCTTGCAAGCTTTTTCATCTTGATCAAACGCATCCCAACCAGTCTCCACAATCCTGAAAGCAATCCCCGACGTTTTGTTTCGTGTGGTCATTCCCGGGGTGCATATGCCAAAGTAGAGCACTGGTGTCAGGGAAAGGCTGTCTGAGCCCGCCATTGGGAACAAGCATCTCATTAAGGAAGATGTGCTGCGAATTTCGTTGTAAAGCTTATCCAGCTGTGTCCAACTTGCAAGCAATGCATGTTTCCCTTCTCGACCCCTTGGTCCACACCCGAAACCCACTCACGGCAGGCTAATTTGACGAGTCATTCTTGATGTAGTCTGAAGCCCGAGCGACCCATTGCCGCACGCTGCTCGGGCGTCAGAAAGCGCACGCCATTAAGGTGGCAAATGAGAGGCCTTCAGCAAAGACAGCTCAGCAGAGGGTCGTACGAGAGGGTTTAGACTGCGTTGAGGGTTGGAGCTTCGGTGTGTGGAATCGGGATTGGAAGAAGCAGCAGATCAGATGCTCATGTCGACGACGTCCCTGGCCTCCGTGTACCGTCCGAAGCCGTGGAGATACAGTGGTACCTCGCCCGAGCAAAGGTAAGAGTCAACAACAGACCCCAAGAAGAGACCTTAGAGCTACTTCCTGCCATTTGCTTGAAACGGTTTGAACCGATTCGAAGCTTAACACAAGACAACATGCAAACCAGAAGAGACACGGGTATCTACACCCATGTGCACCCACCCATGCGTCCATGCACGCATGCAGATTTACATATGTACATATCTGTGTGTATATACTACAGTAACATAGAATATGAAAAATCTACAACATAGGCACAACATACAAGATAGACTATCACAATAGTCTAGCAGACAGTAAATTACAAAACAGCATAGTGCGACCAAATATGACATCATACCAAGCATTCATGGTGATTTTTCACGTTTGTATTTGCACCATATAGCACAAAACTGATCATCCATAGTCTATGAGAAATGCTGATGTATATGGCAGAGCCATTGGGCTGAGGAGCTGGAAGCAGTTCCAACGCCGCCTCTTCCTTCTCATGTTCCGCAAAAAGCGACACCCCCACCACTGCCGCCAAGACGACAAACCAACCATCAGGAATACCATTCATCTTGTTCAGTCTTGGTTTCCCCTCAAACCATTCCAGGCACCCTTTCTGTAACAAGCCGTTCTTCATCGGGATACCTGAACACAAACTTGATTGAGAAAAGCACCTTAGAGTCTGATACACATCGACATTCAACAAACGAACCCTTGAAACCCCGGGGCCGTGAGCCCTTCATGCTTTAGCGTTTGAGGCTTGGAAAGTGCAGGTGCAACCTAACCGGTTAAACGTAAGCCAACAACTGAAGCCAAAACCTGAAGCTCCACTTACGGGTGCCCACGATATTCTGGGATCTCCGGCGTTCCATACTTCGCATGGGCCTCCATGCCCTTCGTCATTATATCATTCCTCTGGCGGACCTCGGCTCAAGCATCGGTTTCTGGATAGCCTGTAGCCAACTCACCTTATCTCTCTGGTTCTTAGTAGAGAATGGGGGAACGGATTATGAAGACGGTTTGATAATATAGGGACTACTGTAGAAATCCCTTCCCCCATTCCCTACTAAGCTCCAGACAGTTAAGTTTCTTCAACTTTAAGCCCAGCTGCCCCTACTGGCCTGGCATCAACACAGAACCCTGCGCAAGCCTTCCGCTTTTGTATCGTCAAACAGCCCTGTAGCCATCAAAGCACGAAAATCTTAAGTGATTGCTTCTGAAGCTGCTGCATGACTGTTCTGTTCAAGCGACGCCAAAGGTCTCTTCGACGAAATTTCCGGGATTGTAGGCCTCCTCTCCAGGACCAAAGTTCGGAGGCTTCGAAGACTTCGGGTGCGCGGCTTGAGGGCTGATGCTGTAGATGGGTGCAAGTGTGGCCATTGCAGGGTTGGGTCCGTGGGTTAGTGTCGGGCTATGAATGCTCGCATCTATGAGTTGAAGCCATGAAAAAAGGACTATTTGCAGCCTCAGGCCAGGTCATGTTCAGATCGTTCATTCCAATGCTTGACATGTAGGGCCCAGGCTAGGCCAAGCATTGGATGGCATAATAGTATTATTAGTATTATTAGTAATAATAGTAATAATGGTAATAATAGTAATAATAATGGGCCGCGGTGTGTATTACGGTTGAGAGTCCTGCTTCCGTTCGTTAAATCTCGGCCTCTGGGCCGAAAACCAGGGCGGTGTAGTGCTCCACGGATGTGATGTGGGTGCTATCCTTGACATGCAGAGAGGTAGATCGATAGATTAAGCATGCAGTGCATGTTATGCCGATTCAGGTACATGTGTTTGCACACCCCAAACCCTCTCTGAATCCGGCGACAGCACTCGAGGTTCTGGTGATTTTCTGCTGAAATACTCTGCTGTTTCCACAATCTCCGACAGATTGAATTGGGTCGGGGCCATCAATCACTACGAGTAGGGTTGACTGTTCTCTTCGACGTACTCAAACCAGATGCTGCAGGTTTGCAGGTATTCGTTCTGTCTCAGTACAACCATTCTGGCCATCATGCTCGTCTGCGGTGGTATTGCATGCCATTCAATGACTGCTGCTTGCAATGAACCACGGTCTGCATTCAGGTGAGCCGCGTACCAGAAAATGATCCTGCCAAAGGAGCAAGCTGAGGATGGAGTTCTTGCATGTCTTATCGGGTTAAACCTTTGCCGGGTGTTGAGATGCCCTTATAGGGTCAAGGGAAGAGGCCGTCGTGCGCTGGATTGGTCCAATCCGTCCCCGGGTGAAATACCGGAAGCCCTTGCATTCGCATGTCCTAGGATCACTTCGAGCAGTTTGCCACAAAAAGGCCTTGCAAGTCTCTGAGTCTTAACTACTTTTTTAATTTAAGAAACCAGCCGGTACCAGAAAATACCCTGCAGTCCGAATGACCTCCCAGAGGCTTGGTATCAAAATATGTTTGTTTTGGGTTTTCAGGCTCTTCTTCTTGCATTCCGCCAAGTTCGCAAAACTACGCCAAATCCCGGCATGTAGAAGGGGGCAGGGCACTACAAGCACCCGAGTCATGGACGAGAAGTGCCTTCGTCCACCGCCTCCACCATCTTGAATGTCGAAAGTATAAACATCGCACACTGGCAAGCACACACAGAAGATGTACAAATCCTGAAAGCTGCAATCGCCATCCTCTTGAAAAATCTTGCAAGACTTTCGCAGCCTCGAAAAAGCAACATGCACCCACACACCGCCCCGCTAGTCCTCGAACAACCTGCTTAAACTCTCCGTGAAGCTTGCGTTGACCCTCCGACCCAACGCTCCATCAGCACACTTCCCGCAAACCCTCCACTGTATTGACACACTCGAACACAATACTCAAGATGAAACTTCGGACAAGATCATGGGCCCGAGTATCGACCTCACTCTAACGATATCCTTGCTGTCGACCTAGGGAGGAGTCCGCTGCAACAGACCCCCACATGCTTAGGGCAAGGAGCGGCATCAGGCTCAGCCCTCTGTGTGTCTCCGGCTTCACCCGAACACCATGGTGCTGGTAGGCAATGCCCTCATAGTGCAGGTTCACCTGTGACGAAGTCCGAGTCCAACCAGCGCTTGGTCGGGGGTGGTCCAGTTTCGAGGTCATACAGAGTTTCAAGCCGTGGAGAGTTGGGTTTCGGGGTGCAGGCCTGTACGGTCTTAACTTTTGGGTTTTGGGGAATGAAGCTCCGCGAAAAAACCAGCGCGCCATTCCAGAGTCTTAAAGGGTCAGACGACAGAGTAGGCGAATTACCTCGGGCTTGTCGGTTCTTCAAGGACCATGTCTAGAGGTGTCCAGGGTGGTTGGGCTTCAGGGATTGCAGGTTGGGGCTTTTAAGTTCAGGAGTGGCATATCCGTTTACCTTAGGGACCCCAGAAGTTCAGAAAGGGAAATCCCTGAACCCACATCTGCTTCTGGGTCAGCTTCTGGGTCTTATGCTGTGACTAAGCCGAGTTCATTCGACGGTTACGGGCTTAGGCAGTTCAGACTTAAGGCAAGCCCAGCCCTTTGGATGTCATCCTGTCGGAGGCCTCAAAAGGTGGGATGAAGGTAGGTGGGATATTCCCAAATAAGGGTACTTATATGAGGGATCCTTAATCCTACCTACCTTCATCCCGCCTTTTGAGGCCTCCGATCCTGGGACAAAGAGCAGGTTGAAGCCGGTGAGCGGGGCCCCTCAACCACCAACAAGCTGCCCCGCTATCTGGGGTGTTTCGGCCAGACTGCTTGAAGGTGCTGGCTTCCCGAAGCGGAGGAGGTGATGTTCGCTTTGCAAACAACGAACCCTTCCGAGTATTCAACGTTGAACCCCGCAACCTGGCATGGAAACCCAAGTTCATGGTCTCTGCAGGCTACTCCTGCGGTGATCTACCTCCCCCTGTCCAAGTTCCCCCAACGGCGCACCAGCAAAGGTAGGCCGACGTACTTCACGCCGGCTGCTGGGTCTGCCAGGACATCCAGCACGCGCTCCAGATCTGAGTTGCAACCACGGGCACTGAAGGTTCGTCTCAAAAGGGCATCGGGTAAGGGTTTTGAGAAAGCTTCAAGGCCGCCACCTTAAAGCTGAATGCCAGGGCGGGGCTTTTTCCACACCCCGACGAGGCTCCTCATGCTCATTTTCTCGCTTGGGATCTTTTTTCGCGCCCTGTTCAGCCTCTCAGGGTTTGGGGTCTAGTGCGGAAGCAAGAAAGGAATTTTTGAGGAAGCAACAAACAACCTAGCCGACCTAACGGGGCTTTTGTCACAAGGCCGAAGCAACAAACGAATCGGTAAGGAGGCAAAAACACGAAAGAGATGAGAGAGTTTAAGAACAGGGAGCAAACCGCTCGAAAGAGACGGGAAACTTTGATAACAAGGAGCAAACGGCTCGAAAACGACTGAACAAGGAGCAAAGCACTCGAACGAGACTAGAGAATTTTGAAAACAAGCAGATAACCAAGCGAACGAGGCTAGATAATTTCAGAACAGAGCGTACACCGATCGAAGAAATTAGAAAGCTTAAGAACGCAAGGAGCAAACGCTCGAAACAGACTAGAGATTTAAGATCGGGCGCAAACCGCTGGACAAGGACTGCTCGAAAGAGAACAAATAATTTCAGAACAAGGAGCGAACCCTTGCAAAACGATAAGATAATTTGAGAAGAAGGAACAGATCAAGCGAAAGAGACGACAGAATGTCACAGGGAGCAAACCAAGCGAACGAAACTGCAGAATTTGAGAAGAAGGAGCAAAACGCTTGAAAGAGACTAGAAAAATCAATAACAAGGAGCGAACCGCTCAACGTGAGATTAGAGAAGTTGACAACACAGAGCAACCGCTCGAAAGAGACTTGATAAAAAGCAGCAAACCGCTCGAAAGAGTCTAAAGAATTTGAAACCGCTTGAACAAAGACAAGAGAAAGTGAAAACACGTAGCAGCGAAGTTGAGCAGAATAGCAAGCCGCTTGAAAACGACAAGAGATATTGACCGCAGGAAAGAAACTGGAGAATGATAACATGGAGCAGACCGCTCGAAAGAGACTAAAGAATGAGCACCAGGAGCAAGCCGCTCCAAAGAGACTAGGGAATTTGCGATTAAGAAGCACGCATCTCGGAAGGGACTAAACAGTTTGAGAACACGGAGCAATCCGCTCGACAATGAAGAAGGACTTTCAGAAAACGCAACACACATTTTGCAAACAACGGACAAACCAAGCGAAAGAGACTGGAGAATGAGAGAAGAACGAGCAAACCGCTCGAACGCGACGGGGGAACTTGTAAACAAGGAGCACATCAAGCGAAAGAGACTTGCAGCTTGAAAAAGCGCGGCACACGCGAAAGAAGCTACAAAGTTTGAGAACAAGCAGCAAACCGCTCGAAAAGGAGTAGAGAACTGGAGAACAAGGAGCAAACCACCGCTGAAAAAGGACGAGAGCAATTGAGAAAAAGTGGCAAGCCACTCGAAAAAAAGGAGAAATTCAGGGAAAGGAGCAAGCCGCTCGAACGAGACTGAAAGAGACTAGAGTGTTTGCGACCAACAAGCAAACCGCTCGGGTCGGGACTTGGGAATTTGAGAACAAGCAGCAAACCGCTCGAAAAAGACTAGAGAACAGGGAGCAAACCGCTCCAACGGGAGTAGAGATGTTAACAAGGAGCAGACCGCTCGAAAGGGACTAGAAAACTTGAGAACACCAGGAGCGAACCGCTCCAAAGAGATTAGACAATTCGAGAGCAAGGAGCAAACCCCAAAGACAACAGAGAATTTGAGAACACCGGAGCAAACCGCTCGAAAAGGACTAGAGAATTTACCGAGGCAATCCGTTCGAAAGAGACTAGAGACTTTTAGAACTAGGAGGAAACCGCTCAAAAGGAACAGAAAAAGGAGCAAACCGTGCGAAAAAGACTGACTAGACTAGAGAAGTTGCGAACCAGGAGCAAACGGCACGTTGGTGGAGCTACAAGCAAGACCCTGGACAGGCCGGCTTGCTTCGGACTCTGTCCATGCGTGCTCGAGAAGCTGTTGAGCGCCGGGCCTACCCAGGGCAGACAAAAAGCCTTTCTGACGGAACCAATAAAAAGGTCTACAGGGACCAAAAACAGCGCTACAAAATCTACTGGCATTAGGAAAACGTTTGCCATGAACCCCAGACTAGCTGCTGTTGCTGTGCTTCTCGCTTTATCGAGTTGGAACTACCAGTATAGACTAAGGACTGGGACAAAGCAGTGTGCCGAAAGGCGTTGCGCTCTTTGAGAGGCCTCTGCTGCATCCCAGTTCTCCAACGGCTTTAGCTACGCTGACTTACCCCATTTTGATCGTGGGCTCTCGAGGGTAAAGGTTCAAGGGGTGAGGATGCCGACCCCAGAAACTTCAATGCATCCTCGAACTCGACGTCTGCCGCCTGGTCCCTGCATCATAACCATCACAAAAAGAATGGCCCGGCCAGCATCGCGATGATTGTAATCAGGATAATGATGACAAAAGCCAGTGCTTCGGATAAGCCTCACGAGCAGGTCTGCCAAGGGGCCAAAGTCGAAAGTAAACTCCAGGTCGTGCTGATGGATGCCTCGAGTCAAAGAAAGTGACCAGGGTAAGGTTCAACGATTTGTGGAATTTCTGGCCTCGGGATCTGACAAAATTGTCATGGGTTTTCTGATCCAAAATCATGCTGAAGGGGAGGCAGGAGTGATGAAAACAGCTTCAACCGACAAACTTGTAAAGCCTAAGTTCATCCTGAAACAGACGGGTGGCAAACCAGAGGCGTCTCCACTTCGGCAAGCGCGGCCTTGACTGCGAAAGCCTGCAGGCTGGAACAATCTCCGAGCTTTGCGGCGTTGACAGGTTGGGGCAAGCTGCCGCAAATTTCAGAAGTTTGGCTTCAATTTTCGTTTTCTGCAAGGGATCTGCGACAGATAGGGCCCAATACGGTCAACCCGCGCAATTGTTATCACTACTGCAGCTGCCCCTCCTCCTTCTACTCCTGCTCCTTCTACTACTACTACTACTACTACTACTACTACTACTACTACTGCTACTGCTACTGCTACTGCTACTGCTACTGCTACTGCTACTGCTACTGCTACTGCTACTGCTACTGCTACTGCTACTGCTACTGCTACTGCTACTGCTACTACTGCTGCTGCTGCTACTACTACTACTACTACTACTACTACTACTACTACTACTACTACTACTACTACTACTACTACTACTACTACTACTACTACTACTACTACTACTACTACTACTACTACTACTACTACTACTACTACTACTACTACTACTACTACTACTACTACTACTACTACTACTACTACTACTACTACTACTACTACTACTACTACTACTACTACTACTACTACTACTACTACTACTACTACTACTAACTAATACCACCACCACCACCACCAGCAGCACCACCACCACCACGACTACTACTACTACTACTCCTCCTCCTGCTGCTGCTGCTGCTGCTGCTGTTCATCCTTCCCTTCTGCTGCTGCTACGGCTACAATATGCAAACGCCAGTTCCAATTCTCGTTTGCCCTTGGCAAGAAAACTACCCACTCCACTCCTGAGTTGGGCTATATGGATCCTCCCGCCGATCACGGGAGCCCTGAGACTGAACAACCCCAAAACCTTTTCAAGCTTCGGTCAGATCAGATGAGACTCCATAAAAGAGGCGCCTGACCATTGTGGCCCTCCAAAATCACAAGCTTCCTCGGCGCTTGGACAGGGCTTCATCTCTGCCGTTTGTTCTCTTCTGTGTGTGAATGTGATGATCTCCGTAGCCAAGACTGTACTTACTCTTTTCCAGCAGCTGGGTGTTGTGTGCGTGGCTACCTTTCCCAAGCTAGCAGCTCACACCTGCGTCGTGTTGAGATTTCGGTTTGGTGTTCCGTAGTTCCGGTAAGGCAACTCCTGCCCTAGCAATGAGGCATTGATCCTGCCGCAACAAGCCAAAGTGCTTCAAGCCGACACACTGATGCCAGCTCTGGGGGGCTATTTGTACTAATGGCGATTGGCGACATTGGGCAGGATATAGGGGGTTTGGGGCTGAAGCGTCTTCGCCGCACTTCGAAACCGGCCCCCGGATGCTTTGAAAAAGGCTCGTGCCAGAAGGGAGCCGTCCGTCATCTTGCAGCCTCTTCAGTGCCTCAGTTGCTATCGCTTCTCGCTTCTTCGAAATATCAAAACCGGAACCTTAAACCGTTCAGAAGCCCTCATTCTACCACAAACCTACTTTCAAAGTCAGCCTGTGCTCAAATCTGGCGTTCCACCCCGACCGGCAAAACACTTCTAACAAAATTTCCAGCCCTTTGGAACGGTTTGCTTCCCTTTCTCAAATGCTCTTACCCCTCTCGAACCCTTTGCTCTTCATATGCAATTGCGCTGGCCCCTTTCGAGCGGTTTGCTCCTGCTTCTCCAATGCTCTATTCCCCCTCGAACTCCTCTTCGTCAAGTCTTGTGGTTGGTCCATTTCGAGTGGTTCGCTCCTGTTTCAGAATGCTCGACTCCTTTGCCAGCCGTATGTTCTTCTTGCTCAAACGCCGATGTGCCTTTCGAGCAATGGGCTCCTCGTTCGCAAAGCGTTTGATCCCTTTCGAGAGGTTTAGCTGTCCTTTTCAAAAGGAGCAATCCCTTTCGAGCTGCCTGTGTGCTCTAACCGCTTTGCGAGGGTTTGCTATTCTGTATCACGTGCTCTAATTTCTTTTGAACGGCCTGCCTCTCTTTCTCCAAACTCGTCCCTTTCGAGCGGGCCGCTGATATTTCTCAGATGCTCCAGTCGCATGCCACAGGATTTTCCGTGTTTCTCACATTTCTCCAATCCATCCGACCTGATTCCCTTCGAGCGGTTTGGTGCTGGTTTTCTCAAAGCTCCAATCCCAATCGAGCGTCTTGTTTTCCCAACACTCTTTCGACCGGCTGACTGGTTCTCACTCAATCGCTCTACACCCTTGCCGAACACTGCTCGGGTCGGTCTGGAGCAGATTGATTGCTTTCTTAATTTTGTTTCCTGCGGCTGGCTCCTGACTCGCAATGGCTCATATGACTTTCGATCTCACAAGCAGTTTCCTGCTATTTCTCAAACGCGCGCCTTACTCCTCTTTTCAGGCTGCTTGCTCCTCTCTTCCAATGCTCCACCACTTTGCAGTGGTCTGCTTTTACTGTCCAATTGCTTCCTTCGCGCAGCTTTCTGGTCTTATCAACTTCTCCAGTCCCCTTAGAGCGGCTTGGGCTCATTGACATGCTCTCCTCCCTTCCGAGCGGTTTGTGGCTCTTTCTCACATGCTCTAATCTTTTATGAGAGTGTGCTTCTCCTTGTCGAGCAGATTGCTGATCTTTCCCACATGCTCTAATCCGCTCCAAGCGGCTTGCTGATCTTGCTGAATCGCTGCAATCTTTTGAAGCAGTTTGCTCCTCTTCCTCAAAAGATCCGATGCTTTCGGAGCGGCTAATTCATCTTTGCAAATGCTCGCGTCCCTTTCGAGCACCGTGCTGCTCTCTCTCGAATGTTCTAGCCCCCTTTCGAGCGGGTTTGGTTTTTTTCTCAAGAGCCCTTGTCTCTTGCGGACGTTGTGCTCGGCCTTGTTGTATGTTCTACGCCCTCCACGGCTGTTTGCCCTGCCTTTTCTTCTCAACGACTCTAGTTCTTTTTGGGGCGGCTTGTTGCGATGTCTCAAATGCTCCTCTGTTACCTCTGTTCCCTTTCATGTGCGAGTGCTTTGTTGCATTGTTTCTTTTGCTCTACTTTCTTTCGAACGGTTAGCTGCCTCATCTTTCTCAAATACCGCAGTCCCTTTCGAGCGAGTAGCTACTCTTTCTCAGTCTTTCAGAGCTCGTTCTTCTGTGTATGATGCTCTAGATTTTTTCGACGGTCTGTTGCGGATCCGGCCCAGATGCATGTTTCAGGCCATGAAAGATGCATTGGGACTGCTTGCCAGCATTGAGTTCTTGCTGCATGCGCAATTCATGGGTTTTACATGGAGCCATTCTGCTCTTGGAGATACTGCACATGCGTTTTTTGAAACTCCGTTACCTCCTCTCTTCACTCCGAAGATCTGGAACTCCTGAGTGAAGGAACATACGTGTAGGGAGTTTTCATTGCCTAAAGGCGAGGAGAGACCTGGCACCCAATTTGTACTGCAACCTGGAAATACAAAAGAGCTGCCGCTTTGTACTCCGCGTAGTTTGCGGCTTTCTCCTCGGTGACCTTGCGTCCCAGGCCGACGGCTCAGAGTTTCGGATGTCGGGGCATTGCTTACTAGACTAGGCTTTTGTGTAGGGTAGCTTGCCTAACACTAGTTACTGCAAGAACCCTGATGCGGGGGTGGATTGCCCAAGGCGGTGATTAACACTCGTTCTACTTCGACTGGTTGACTGGAACATTGAGACTCGGCTTGCTTCTTCTCTTATGCATGGCAGCATGCTTCCCATCCCTCCTGCCTACCTACCAATGCTACCGCCACTTACCGGTGATGATGGCTGCTATGTTTTGCCCACTTGCCACCTCAGGCGCTACATGTACACGGCCCGAACCCTAAACCCTAAACGCAAAACCCTAAACCCAAGACTCTAAACGCAAAACCCTAAAACCCTGAACCCTAAACACAACACTCCAAAAACCCTAAACGCAAAACCCTAAAACCTAAAAACCCTCTGTCAGGCCCTATCCGGAAGAGCCGAGTCCCGGGCCTTTCCGGCTTTCCAGGTCGTCTTTTTGACAACCTTGAAGCCTCGAATCGATCAGCTTGAGAGGCGCTTTTGGGGGCGCTTGTTTTGGGGATGATGAGTCTTGGACAGAGAGCTTCGGGTAAAGCCCCAAACCCCGGGGTATTTTGGGGGCCTTGGGGCCTTGTGCACGTGCAAGCCGACTCGTTTAGGGTTGAGCCCCACAAGCTCCACATCTCAAGCCGCCTTCCTAGCACCACAGTGCTTTCTGGTACTTCCTTGAACAGTTGCCATGTTGTACCGTCTTCACAGACATGTCCAGTATCAACTTGGGGCAGTCTCTGAACGCCACAAACCGAAGCCCTCAATGTACTGGACGAGCAGCCCTACATGTTCATGAATTTCGACACAGATGTGGGACGCCACCATCATCTGAAAAAGCCTGATCCCTTTAAAGCCGCAAACGTCAACAACTATCTGCGTTAGTCGCTAGTCTTTGAAGCCAGGCGGCCATCACAAACGATGATCAGCCTTGGGAATGCGGGGGAAAGCGTGAGAGCTGGCTGATACCACCCAATGATGATCCTTGTACTAGGCCTGTCTGAAGATCTACAAACTCTGAACCGCACTGGTTCCAACCCAACCAGGCAGCAACACAAAGCACTGCGCGCGCGGCAGGTGCGGTACTTCATGAGTGTTTCAGTGGGCATCATCCGACAAAATGACGCTGTACATCATGAATTCGCCACGTTTCTTTGCAGCCCCGGAAAAGCCCACGCCCTAACAGGAGTGACCCGTTCACAACAGCCCAAAGCCCTGGCAACTGTGAGTTCTTGGCAAAACCCCAACGCTAAAAAGAGTCAGTGGCTGCGAAGAACCCACAACCCTAAAGGGAGTGAGAAGATGATGTTGGTAAGACTGTCAGCCACGTGCCTGACACCCCGCAAAAAAGCCCAGCGGCGGACAGTCGGCAAGGCCTTGTACTCGAGCGAAGCTCGCGATCACTGCCTCTAAAAGCCTGGGCCACGAGGGTGAAGGGTTGGGGTTTCAGGGAGTCTCAGCCTAGGGCTCAGGGCTACAGCTCAAGGATGCTGTAAAGCTTAGGGTCGGTGGTGGTTTAACAAGGCTTACAAGTCAAGAGCTCGGGGTTAAAGCCCAAAATGAACATTCTTCTTTTTCAAAGGTAGCTATCGGGCTAGAGTCCTAATCCCTGAACTCTTAAGGCTGTCATTTCAATCTAGGTTGGGGTCTAGACTTCGGTCACGGGCGGTGAAGCAGCCAGCATGCCTCTAATTCATGGCAGATGATGCTAATGGTCTAGGCACGTACACACATAAGCACAGACAGACTGGCGGACAGACACAAAGACAGATAGAGAGACGGAGAGACTTTTTGACACAGAGACAGACAAGCACGTATACAAGATGCGCTATCTTGAGGTGTCTGTCTAGTTGCTTTATCCACACACTTGTGAGGGATGATTCAGAGGACAGAAGAGCCTTCGCGAGCTTTTATGTGCTGGGATTTGGGCTGCAGTGTCGTCTTTGGGTTAAGGGGTCTTGTGCTTCGGTGTGTCGGACCTCAATTCACCTCATGTCCCATACGAAGTTTGGGACTTGCATGCAGGCTGCGGTTCAGAACAATGGTTTCGGGTCAAGAAAGCAAGGCTTCGGATGCAGGAAGCTAGCCAGAATCTGTAGCAAGTCGGTTGAGGCTGGTTGAGGTACACAGCCTTCGGGGCAAAAGCCACACGTGCAAACTGTGCGGGGTTCACACGGAAGATGCAGTGGTTTTGAGCTTTTAAGCCGGGCTCTCCTCCAACATGAGGACCTAGAAGCAAAGCATTACTTACGTCGACTTACGTTACACTCGACGAAACTGTGACCTCAGAATCATGATCTCTGTTGAATGTTTGAGGTCTCAACCTGACTCCGAAATGCTTGGAAGACATGAAACCCGACTGGACCAAGGGACATCGTTGAAGGATGACTTGGAATGGGGCTGGTCGTAATAACCTTACTGGAAGAGAGTGCTGCACGGGTTGGCGTCGAGGGCTTTTGAAGGTCGAGCACGCTTCGCGTGCAGTTACGATTTATCTTTGTTAAGCTTGAGGCCCTGGATCTCGCTGAAGATTTCCGGATTGGGATGCTCAGGCACGCATCTCCGTCTTGCCAATGTTGTACCGTGTGTCAGTGAGTGCAGGAGTCAATGCCTGTTTTTCATGCACTGCAGAAATAAATACGTGTATATATGTATATATATATATAACACATACCTCAAATACATACATATGTATTTGTGTATAGCTCTCATTCTGACGTGTCTTGCAAGCTGCATGAGAGAGACAAACACAAACAACCTGCTCTATCTACCTGTCTGTCTATCTGTCGACCTATCCATCCAACTACATCTGTCTATCCATCTCTATGTCTGTCTGTCTGTCTGTAAGTCCAGGTTTCTACCTACCTACCATCCTAGCTAGCTAGCCAGCTAGCTAGCTCGCTCTGTTTTTCTGTCCCTCTCTCTCTCTCTCTCTCTCTGTTTCTACCCCGTGATCCATCTATCTACCTCTCTGTATCTCTACGTGCATGTACGTACGTATGTAGGTATGTACGATGTGTGTAGTCGAACATGGCGAAGTGTCCACAAACATCTCCTGTCCTGAGTCCTGAGGTTGCCACATCTATGCCCACACACACACACACACACACACCACACCGAACTCACTGTGCATCTTTACTCCATACAGGTGCCAGTGCCACCGTGCTGCTTAAAGAAACTTCTGGACTACAGGCCTGTGGGTTTAAAGGTCGACATAGAAAGTAGTTTTGCGGCTTCTGGTTAGGGTCAAAAGTTGAGGGCGAAAGTCTGGGCCACTTCGCCATAGCTTCTGGAGCAGCCAGGTTGAGCAAGCCGTCGAACGAGCACAACTGTTGGGGCGGACGCTTCCGACCACAGCCAAGTCGCCACGCTCAGTCTCGGCGAAGTAGCTTTGACCTGGAACTAATGAATAAAAGGCTGCCTTTCGAAAGGACTGTGGGGGCTTCCCTATGCAGTCATAAACCCCGAAACCCACCATCCCTTGGCCTAACTTCCCTTTACTAGGCCTCACCAACCTGCCGCACTTCGGCAACGAAGGGCGGCTTCTTCTCCTTGGCGTCAGTTTATAGCTTGAGGTCTTATGGGTTTAGGGCTTGGGTGGTGTAGGGTTTTGGGCAGGGAAGACTCCTAAGCCCTAAGTGGGCGAAGCCGTAACCTCGTTTTGGCTTTCTGATAGCTTTTGTTTCGGCCTTTGCTATACATTGTTGAGCTTCTGCTAGGAGAGCATACACGAGTATCATCTGAATGCAAGAGCAGCACTAATAGCAGTAATAGCAGCAGCGCAGCAGCATTAGCAGTAGCAACATTCGTATGATGCTTATTGCAGTATTGTGTGGCCATGTTTGGAGCAGCATCAGAGGCAAGCAGCAGCAGTGATAGTCGGAGTGGTCATGCTGGTGATTGTGGTGTTACCCCTCGGAGAGGCAGTTGTAACGACAGAAGCAGCATCACCACCGATTGTAGTGGCGACGGCAGCCGCGTTCTACTCACGGCAATCGCCGTCGTCGAAGAAGAAGTATTCATATGGCTTTGCTGTTAGTAGTAGCAGTAGCAGGAGGAGTAGTAGTAGCGGTGGTGGTAGTAGTGGTAGCAGCAATAGTAGTGGTAGTAGTGGTAGTAGTAGTAGTAGTAGCAGCAGTAGCAGTAGCAGTAGCAGTAGCAGTAGCAGTAGCAGTAGGAGTAGTAGTAGTAGTAGTAGTAGTAGTAGTAGTAGTAGTAGTAGTAGTAGTAGTAGTAGTAGTAGTAGAAGTAGTAGAAGTAGTAGAAGTAGTAGTAGAAGTAGTAGAAGTAGTAGTAGTAGTAGTAGTAGTAGTAGTAGTAGTAGTAGTAGTAGTAGTAGTAGTCGTAGTGTCTGATCAGGGCTTCGCCGGACATCGGCAGTGGTGGTGGTGGTGGTGGTGGTGGTTAGTAGGTAGCAGGTAGCAGATGGTCGCAGTAGTAGTAATCGGGGCAGGGGGCGTCGTAGTGGTGGTTGTGGTAGTCGTACTTGGACGACAGCGACCAAAACGACCATGACAACTGCTGCTCATCTTCTTTTTCTAAAGAAATGGTTCCGTTGTGCTTCTTCACAAGTTCGTCCTGTCCCACCAAGCTTCCACAGTCTTCTGTGGGCAGTCGCTGCTGATGTGATCGGCGGACTTGCAGAGGAAACATGTCCTCGGAGACATAATGAAGGGCTTCGCACCAGAAGGATTAAGAAAGTGGCACCCTCGCCCCGACGCTCGCAAGGCAGCTCTGGCTTTGAGGTCACATAAAATCATCTAGCACAGCCGGCTTCCAATCCAAAACCCAAGACCGTGAAGTGTGTCGGGTGTCCGATCTCCACCGTTTCGGAGCACGTCGCAGTCGGCCTGTCTTCCGGAACAGCGATTCTTCCGGAACGGCAAATGACAAGCAGCGTGACACATGTAAGTGAAGATGCATTTGTTTGCTCACTTTCAAAGCATCAGTTTTGGGAAAGAACCATCACATCGCAACAGAGCTCGGAAAGGTAAATCCCTAAGCTCTGCGACAGGAAGACAACTTGACGCCAAGGGCATGCCCAGAGCAGGAAACAAACGACAACAGCCAGCAGTCGAAAGCCCAACACCTTCACATGGAATCCGGATCTCTAAACCCTTCGGATGGGTGTAGGAGTGCTCACAAGCATGGTAGGCCGAAGCTGCAGCCACCCTTTACCCTCCACCCTCAATTCCTTAAGCCTTCAAGGTAACTACCGTCAACCTTCAATCCCAGAATCCCTCTGACACATGACCCGAGGACTCAGCATGGAAGCCTAAAGCTGATATCCGGAACCCTGAAACCTAAACAGATACTCCCCATACCCTCAACACCAAGCGCCAACACACTGCCTCAAATCCCGAAGTTACAAACACCTCAACCCAGATAGTACGCTTAACCCATGTAGAAGCCTTAGAAGCTGGATCAAGCAGCTTTACCGCAAATCCTTAAAATAGTAATACTATAGTACTACTATGATAATACTATAATACTATCATAATACTATAATACCACAATAATAGCAAATACTATAGTAATACTATGATAATATCATAATACTAGAATACTAGTAATACGAACCATACCGACATAGAAGGCACCCTCAGCTGCGAGGCTCGACCTGCTCATGGCCTCGGCCGCCGCAGTGCCAGCAAAGGCGGCCTCGAAGGTCTGGTGCACGGGGACTCTTTAAAAGGGATCCTTATGGGTTCCTTTAAGGGATCTATGAGGGTACTATAAAGGGTTTAGGGGTTTAGGATTCAGGGGTTTAGGGGTTAAGGGGTTTAGGGGTTTAGGGATCGGATTTCATGTCAAGCCTATGAGGCTTTGAGGGGTTCCAGCTAAAGTCTTCAGCAGGCTTTTATGGGTTTTTTAAGGATTTGTAGGACTTTACAGGGTAACATTTGCATTTGCGTTGGCCTTCGGGAGATTTAGGTGCACCTCGAAGACGTGCAGGGTTCGCTAACCATCTCTGCTGCAAGGTCGGTAGATAAAAAAAGTGTTAGCTCCAAGTCACGGAGATCTCGAGCTGTCCACAGAGCACTCGGAGGCTTCAGCACTTGAGTCTAGGGCTTCGAGTTTGCCTGACGGTGAACGCCTCGACGGTCTCCAAGCTCGCTACCCCAAGGAAAGCTCCAATGTCTTTTGAGGAATGTCAACTGAGGGTATTGGAGCTTACCTTGGCCCTGCACTCAAAACCCCTGAAGCCCTAAACCCTCAAACCTGTAAGCCGTACACCACGTGAATCCCTACTCTAGTCCCTGGCTTTGATGCCCTGGTGCTCTCAGCGTTGCCACCCCGCTTGCGGCCCATCAGGAGCAAACTATCCGACGAGGAAGCCCGAGTCTATATGTGTGAGCGAATGTAAACCAAGCAAACAGGACGTGAATATGCACATCCACAGACATATTTACGTACATACGTACATACATACATACTCTATGGTCAGGAGCTGCAAGATTTGTTCAGGGCTGTACGGAGGATGCTGGAGTTCATGGTCCGGGGCTAGGGGTCTGCGGCGTCCAGGTCGAGGATGTGGGCAAAGGGTCTGGCATGTCATGGCCGTCTTGGTTTGGGTCTTGATATCCTGCGTGGATCTGGGCAGTCGTCGACATCCGTCAAGTCACAAGTTTTGTTGCACAAAGAAACGAACAAACAAGGCAGCACTTGTACACTGAAGCCTCGAACAACGAAGTTCCACACCAGCGTCGATGGTAAACTCCAAAGCATCAAGATAGACTGGAGGGCCAAAAGCCTGAGGGCCTCAGGTCTTTTTCGCCGTGCACTTCATCCCTAGTAGTTCCCTTTGCTAAGAATCGACGGATGCTCGAAACTTGAAAGCACTTTCAAGAATCTTTAAAGGATTTTGGCCAGCGTGCGTGATGAGAGCCCGATCCCTCTGCCACAGCGGTCGTACCCGTCATACAATCGAAAGCTTGGCTACTGTTGTTCCTCAGCTAAATCTTCCCATGCACGGAGTTTCATGAACCCCAGGATCTCGCACCGACATACTTGGTATCTCAAGCAGACCCGACATTCTCTGATCACAAACCTGGGCTGGGTGGTTTCAGTTCTGATGGGCTCCAGGGCTGAGGGCTTTCGGAATGGTGGGTTGATATAGGGGCCTTAATAACTAGAATAGGGTTTTGGGGCCCAGTCTACTATAGCTGCTATAAGAAGGAACCCCCACAAAAAAAGAACATAGTGTTGGTAACTATTTCGGCCCCCTTTCTCTCGGGTCTCTTACCGCCCGTGGAAGCCGGAAGGAAGAACGCGAGAAACCCGAGGCTCTAAGCCCAAGACCACAGAGCCCGCTGTTAAGAGCATAGAAACCACAAAAACACCACGAAGCCACGAACCTAGCACCTGAGAACTTCAAGGCCGAAAACCCTGAGCCCTAAAGCCCTCAAGCCTCGCCTTTTTGACTACGCGCCAAATGGTAGGCGGTCGAGATGGGTTGCTTCGAGAATGGGGCGGCTCAAGCCTCCGCAACTCTCGACCTCACCTGGTCTTTCAAGGCTTCGCGGTTGCTGGGGTTGTTTTGGGCGTTGTTTAAGGGCAAAGCGTTGGAGGACCGGGAACTTGACAGCCTTCAGATAGTGGAAGAGGACTAGCAACAAACACAGATACGCGTATTTTGAACACCGTCTCATGTTCTATCTTGGCTTGTGCTGGGGTGCAGACAGTGCTCAGGGCTCCATAATTTGAAAGCCTGAAAGTGCAAAGAAGCTTGACAACTCAGAGTTTGAGTGGTTGGATATGGAAGCTTAGCTGCAGCTGCGGATCACAGCATTGCATCCGGTTGCCTCTACGCATTGAGTGTAGGAGCCGTGCCTGCGTCCCTAAGGCTTCTTACTGCGGTTCTTGCTGACACCCAGTTCTGCACGAAGCCATGATGAAGCATTCAAAACCGAGTCCTTGTCAGACTCCAACCAAGTCTGTTCTGAGGTTTTGGGTGCCCCACCCTCGAGCACATCGTGGATGGCCGACGGCATGGTGCGCGGCCACCAGTTCCATTCCTGCGCCGTAAGCCTGCTGCGCTTCCGGTTTAAACAGGGCATCTGGAAAGCTCGGGGTTCCTGCCAAAGCCTTCCCCTTAGGCAGCTACACTTGTGAAATGCCTGGATCTTGATTCCTCAGTCCACAACCCCTGAACCGCTACGCTTGGAACCCTAGTTCATCCTCGGGTTGCAGGATGCGGCATTTCCCAGCACTTGCACAAAGCTTTGGATGTCGAAATTCTGCTTTGATCTCACTGAAAACTTCATGTTGCTTCGGCAGGGGGAGTGGTTTGCGGAGCCCTATTCTCGTGGGCATACTATTGTTATCATAATTACTATTTGTATTAGTTATGTCTACTCGTATTATTGTTATTCACATGATTGTTATCATTCTTATTATCGTCATCATCATCAGTATAGTCATTATTATTGGTATAAATCCCAACATCTCGAAGCCGAAAGAACACCGGCCGGAAGCTGCACCTAGCTCGCACACCCATTGGCCCAAAGAAAGAAGCTCCGAAAAGCGAAGGAAGAACCGAATAGCACCATAAAGTATAATATAACATCGTATAAACGGGACTTGTCATTTCGACCTCTACTTCTGTCTCGCACAGGGCCCAATCAATTAGAATCGTGCGCTGGGGTATCTGGGGAAAAAACCACATCGTTTTGACATTGCCCATGACCATAGTAATGAACATGATAAGGATCCAACAAAGAGCCGGGCAACATCAGCGCAGGCACCAAGACGGTTCGCACAACAAACGTGTCCAGCAGCCTGAGGAGCGGTCCGAGGCTTTGTTTTGCATGCTCCGAGGGGTCTTATGGGGATTCTAGGGACAAGCGAGCTCGTTCTTGAATCCTGGATATCAGACGACGCTGAATGGAACTTGGGCGGCGTTTTGGCTTTGAAGGCCCCCAGGGTAGGCAGGTGAAAGGAGCTTGGCTGCTGCTTTGCAGCGAAACGCGGTAGGTCGTGAGGCTCCAGCTTTTTCTACTACTACTACTACTACTACTACTACTACTACTACTACTACTACTACTACTACTACTACTACGACGAGTACTGATGTTGATGAACTTGCAAATCTCTGATATAGTAACACGAACCAGCTTGTCTTACCAGTTCTGAGCACCGTAAATGCGGCCCTTGTTCCACTTACGGCCTTCGGTCGCTTTTTGGAGGACCTGACTTCAACTCCATGTTGCCGGAAGGTGCTCCCAGGTTGAATCCACAACTTGCTGTGAGCCTCACTTGGATATTGATTTGCCTGGTTGAAGCTGCTTTGGAGAAACAGTGCCTCGTGCTCTTTCGCAGCAGCCGACCCAGATTCAACAAAGCCCCAGGAGACTACCCACGCAAAAGAAGGTTACGAGTTAGGATCATTGACGCTTTGAGCTCAGGAACCCCGCACCTTGAGTTCGAAATGACGAGGGGCACAGACGTGATGATGAGAACGCCGAACTGCTGGAAGAAGATCTTGTCCGAGACGACCAGGCCTCTCCACAGACGCAAATCGCCCCTGAACCAGATGTCCTACGCAATTTGTCAGAGCCTTATGCCCCAAGACCCTACATGGAGGCACATGGGTTCGTGACAACTTAATATGGGATGTGCATCTGAAGCGGAGCCGCCTGCTCATCAGAAGCCACAATCACCTCGCCCCTACATGCAAATCCCCTGCGGCTGAAAGCCTCCCCGCCCGAACTTCTGAGTCCCCATGCAAGGTCCTGAACTTCAGTCAACCCTAGCAGCCATAGCTCCTCAACGCCGTGGCGGAGATCGGGCTAATCACTCGTAAGGACAGAAACGCGATACGGTATGTAGTGGTGCACAGGAACGAGCAGTCTAGGATTCGCATTGACAGCGAAAGGTAGCAGTAGTCCCACCGAAGAACCTACCTCGACCGTGCTTGAAAACTTCGCTTGCGCCATATTAGGTAAATAAGTAAATAAATCAATATATATATATATATATATATATATATATACATATACATATACATATACATATACGCATACATATATGTGTATATATATATATATATATATATAAGCCCGGGTTCCAAAGACACACCCAAGACACATCCCTGGCCTGAGAAGGCCAGGGACATGATCAGCCCTGCTCCAGAGATGACGTCGCCAGTTTTGAGCACGCCTCGCAAGGGCCCTAATGTAGGGGCCTTATTAAGTAGAATAGGGTTTTGGGGGGTATATTATACTATAATCCCTACAATAGTGTAGGTAATTATTTGGGCCCCTCTATTACCCTCTTGACCTGGAGCGGGGGTTTCTTTCCTTTTGGGGCTGGGCTTCTTCCTGGGACGCTGGACCGACAAGCTCCGTTGCAATAGAAAGCTCGCATGATCGGGCTCAAATTTCCAAAGAAGGAGACCTTAAAGTCAAAGCCAGAAAGTTGGAATATGATTATCCTAAACCCTTTATGGTAAATTATAGGGTATCCTACCCTGAAACCATATTCCAACTTTCTGGAGTTCCCTTTAGGAGTGTTCCTGCTTGGAGCATCTTGGAGCCAAGTGAGCTCCGAGGCATTTCGGCCACGGCGCACGTCACCCGATGTTCTAGGTACGCCAGAGTCAGCTGTACCCCAGGAAGGCGATCCCAAAATCTTTTTTGGATAATATCCATTTAGCATGGGTAATATACTCAAAAGCCTTCTAGTGAATCATTCCAGTTGGAAGACGGCACTCGGGCCAGGATCTTGAGGTTCCCACGGGCCTCGAAAAATGCTGGCGCGATCTGAATATCGCTGCAAGCGAAACTCCAGGATACGACTGACCTTGGCACATGTCATCAACTCAAATCGGGATTGTGCCCCTACACTTCGATCAGCTGCTGCATGTGGAAGTCTGAAAAGAAACGCAGCAATAAGACAAACATCGCCGATTCCGCAGCAGATCTGGTGCGATGTTGCAATGCTCTTGCATCTTGCCTGCGATACTGATGCCGTGTTCTACAAAGCACGGGGATGTGATGCTGGACCCACAACTCTGCGCGGCCGTGGGACAAGGAAAATGTCGTAGTCCAATCCGAGCGCAATTGCGATCCCCGTGACGAGGGGGATGACTTCGTAGGTAATCCCATAGAAGTGCCTGCAAAGGCTGCTGGAAACAAGCACTGATCGGGATTGTAGCAATTCATATACATTGCTTTTGAGGCTGTTGCTGCTTTGAGTACCCTTTCAACTGTGACGATACTGCTACTGCAAACAGCTTCTCACGACTTTGGGAACCCGCGAAGGCCTCACCACAATATGTCAGACCCCAAGTTGCCAGCAGCCGAGCCACTGGAGATGCGGACAAAGGCCATGCAGCAGCCTCTGTAGAGAGTGTTCCAGCGACATTCAGGCTTCCTGAACCCCCATACCTATACCCCGAGACCTGTGAAGAGTAGCTCGTCGATACAGCACGCCGTGAGACTAGTTCGGAGCTAAGCGGTTTACTTGGACACGAAGCAGGGGCCAGGCTTCGGGGTTTAGGGTTTAAGGGTGGATCAACGGCATGAATTTTGCCAAATAAGCTTCGATCATGTTAACGCCTCCGCAACAAGTCCGTATTGTGCGATTTGCGCTGGCCTCACACAAGAACCCAACTGCCACACGCGCCCCACAAGCCGAAACATGAAAAGCCCTAGGCCCCGAATCCCAAACGTTGCGCCCTGAACTTTAAATTTCAGGCAAAGGGGCGTCGTCTGGTAGACAATCACTCCCATGCCGAAGGTTCCCACAAGTGTGAAGCATAACCTCAGCTACAAACCCTGATGTCCGAAGGGTTTTAGGGTTTGCGGTTTCGAACTCCTCACTCCGAATTCCCCAAACAAAAGAGCACGAAACAAGCTCTAGACAAGTACCCTATAATCCTGGACTCACCCCGAATGCTTGAAAGTGCCAACGACTCAAACTCGACGTCAAAATCCTTTAGCCGGCATTCCTTGCCTTTGGGGTTGAAGCCGCCCGAGCTTTAGGCTTGCTACGCCGGAATTTCAACAAGTGGAATGCAGCGAGGGCCTTGTATGAGACAAGTTTGAAGGGCCATCATGAGATTCGATGACAAAGTAGGTCGGGAGTACATGTTTTCTACGGCTGTGGAATGTTTTCGATGGCGGTGGGAGTTATAGAGGAATAGTCCAGGAACATCATTTCCGGAGGTTCCCATAGTGCTCGAGTGTACAGAGATTCGTTGTTGGGTACGGGCACGGGAACCAGCAGCAGAATGTGAGAAGCGTGTCCGTGCTGGGAGTTTGAGGGCACTGAAGCACTTCTTGCCCTCCAGCTTCGTTCTGGGATGTGCACCTGCCGAGATGCTCTTTGTTTGAAGTGTGCAGTGCGCGCCCCACAAAAGCCTGAACGAAAATGCCTTGCCGGTCTACACTTAGCTTGAAGCCAGCCGAACACCCAAACGCCCTCAGTTCTACGTAGAAGGTCGTGTATCAGAATCAGAATATGGATCTCATGAGGAATTCAATTTTGGACAAGCTAGACCGAGGTCCATTGTACATGCTCAGCAGCGCAAGAGCCAAACGCAAAGGCACCAGCAGGCTTTGAAAGGAGAGGTACACGACCTGGCTTGAAAAAGCACACAGGTGCAGAATTCAGGATTTCCGGCTTCAAGCCATAGTCCCAAAGCTCGGATGGAGGGCTGAAGACGAAGGACTGCATTACGAGTATAAGCGGCTTTAACAACTTGAGGGTGCAGGTACTGTGCAGGTGTCTGGAGTCTAGGAGGTTACTCGCTACTCTCTTTGACAGGGCCAAGTGTACATCTCCTTTGTTCGACGGTCTCAGACGTGGTCGGAAGTCCCATCTCATGGCATTCATGGGCATGCAGATAGAACTGGAGGCTTCGCATGAACTGCATCGCGCCATGCGTCCGAGCTCATCCCTGAAGCAATGTGGGAGTTTCCGACCCCAATATACTACACTAAATAGTAGGGTCCTTATTATAAGGACCCCAAAATAAGGTACCCCCAATTTTCAGAAACTCCCATGTATCTGAGGCGAGAACAGCCATGATCAGCGTAACGGTCACGGCAAGGTAGGGCCACATGGCCGTCAGGATCCTCGCGGCTCCCACAGAATCCCAGGGACAGAACGCAACCTGCGGTCTCCTGAGTGCATCTACCCTAGCAAAAATTATGATTTTCGGCGTTTCTTAAAAAACTATTATAACCAAAGATTAAAAAAATATTTCTAAGTACCCCTAAGGCATAACTGGACCTACATGCTGCCCTTCGCTCGGAAGAAGCAACAAGTGCTCCAATAGATCTCGAGTTGATAGCATCTATGCTCTTGGGTGCAGCTGTATTATTTCTTAGTTAGGCCATGCCCACGAGCTTCATATACGCAAACTCCGCGCTCCAGCTTCCATGCCATGCTACACCCTTTGAAAGATCTTTCGGATTTGTTCGGAGTTCGCGAAACTGAACTTGGCTGTCTCTGCGCTCCGATGCTCTATCGCATGCAATTGCTTTATGCAGAAACAGAGATCTGCTTGCTTCTATTCTTGTTCAAACATGAACCCACAAATGCTGTTGACGTGGATTGATGTTTTGCAATTGCGATAGTACCGCTAGCAAGGCAAACGAAAGTCTGCTCTGTGAGTCGACAGTATGCAAGTGGATGTAACGATGAGTAAAAGCTACGGCTTACGACGACATTGGGAGTGTTTGCGTCATGTTCAATCCGAAGACCCCTCCAAACCTCAACCCGAAACCATAAACTGCTTCCTATCGGCCGTGCTGCCTCGAGTTCCAACTGCCGACTGCTTCCCGAACGTTCAACCGGCAACCTGTTCTACAACTCCCAAACCAATATGTGTCGGCCGGCAGTCTGAAGTGAGCCCTACCCGCAACTCATGTATGTCTACCTCTTTACCTACTGCATCTGGCCATGCAGCTATGCATCCCGTCTGTATACACCCGTGTAGCTAATCAACATCGCAAAAACAAATAGACACACGCATGTTTGGAAGCAATGAACACGTAGGTATTTCTATATCATACATCCACATAGGCAGGTGAGAAGGGCAATCCAAACAAAGCCCCGAGGAAGGGGAGTGAAGCCAGAACCACTCAGATCGATGGAGAAAGGGATGTGGATATAGCCACTGTGTGTTCGTGTTAAAGTAAGTTGCTAAGTTGCTCATATATATATATGTATACACACACACACACACACATTTACGGCTATATACATATATACGCATAAACAAACAAAGAAGCACGTTCATAGATAAATACATAAACGTAAGTGATTAAGTAAACATGTATATACATATACGCATAATTACATACATATGTATATATGTATGTATGCATGTATGTATGTATACTTTGTATATCTTTATGTGTGTGTGTTCCTGCGTCCGAGAGGCTCTACTCGGGTGTCCAGAGCCTCGGCATTACCCCCGGCCAGCTGCGCACGGAAGCCTGGATGAGCGGCCTGGCGGGCTGCTGCTGTGAATTCAGCTTTCGGCTATGGCAGGTTGCTGTCTCGGCTTGGCCCAGGATTGAGTGGGGATTGATCTGCAACTCAGAGGACTAACTCAGAAGTTTATTAGGCTTCATGGTCGAATGGACAGGCATACATCCATTCGCACATGTCATACGCTGCCGCGTCTTAGGGTCAAAAATTCCGACGGCCTCCCAGTCGCTGAGCAGGTGCCGCACGCTGGCAGCCCAGTCTGCGCCACCTGCACCTGCTCGAAATCAGCTGAAATTGCGACCGGCGAGCCTTTTTGCGCTAACTGCAATGGGCCAGGGCGATGCTTTTAGGGCTTTTCGGGTAGGTCTTCGCAGGCTCGGAGAATCCCGAACGGTCAAGAGTCTGTGGCTTGTTGTGTTGCTTCCATGTTTTGGTCGTTCGCAAGTCTTGCAGATTGAAGGGAGGTTGTCCTAGGGTCCTAGGGCGAAGGGGAAACTCGGATGTGATTTTGTACAGGATCTTAACTCTGTAACAATGATGCAGCTCGTACACAGCCAGGGCTCCACGGAGACAGGAAGCTCAGGTGTCCTGAAGATTAGGGTCTAACCTCACAGATGCAACTGCGCGCCTATGGAAGGGAAGATGGTGTGGACCTGAAGTAGAGCATGGCGGCCATTCACGAACTGCTGCATGTAGAGGTTGTACCTCGTTCAAGACCGGTAGCTCAGCAGCTAGTGCAGATGCAAGTAGTCGCATGTTGTGCAAAAAACAGCAACAGCGTGACCAGAAATATACTGCCGACTTACTTCTGCCATTGCCCCCTTGCTTGAACCTGTCTCTTTTCGACAGCCGTTGCTTTTCCTCATCTTCCGCTTCAGCGGCCCTTTTCTGTCTACCCCGCAAGAAGTGCGACCGGGAATGATAAGGCTGGACGTCTACTCCACGTCTCTACAGCCCCACACAAACCTTAGAACCTTAGACCCTACATCCGAAATATGAAGCTCTGGAACTCCTGTGTTGAAGGGCTGCAGGGTCCTATAACAGAACCTAGAGACACAATGAAACGGTTTTAGCGACCCAGGGGCGAGTCTCGCACGCCCGGATTTGTTGCGGCCATCAGCGCTGCGATCCAGTCTACTCCTCATCCAGTCTGGACGAGGAGAGATCTACGGCCAAACCCGAAACCCTAGGATCTAAGCCCTTCAGGAATGAAGCCCCGACCCCAACTCTCGGCTCAGCGTTTGAAGTTTGAGGCGGAGATGTGGGGATCTCTGCTGAGGTTAACTCTTCGTCGGCGCAGTCTACTCCAAACATGTAGCGGTACACAAGACCTCCAAGCCGGAACTGCCACGACTCACTACAGTTCGTATGTACTCCTCCGATGAACCCTGAGCCTTAGCCTGCCATGGAGCCAAGATCCCCGAATTGTCCAATGCTACATGTCAAGAATGATTGGTCTGTGTTTCTGAGTTATTGTACTGTAGATGTATACTGTATTACTACACGCATGCATGTGTACATGTACAGACGCACATGCGTACAGACGTACATACATCCATGCATACATACATACATACAGACATGCATATCTATATCTGCATTCATATCAGCATCTGTATCCATTATGTGACTTGTGTGTGTGTGTCTACACACACATGTACAAGTACACAGAACCTTATGCATACACATACATATACATGCACATACATATGCATGTAGGCATAGATTAATAAGTACGGAAATAAGTCAACCCATGTGCAGATATGTGTATATATATATATATACACACGCACATAACGTGTGTATATGCATGATGCATACTGTATACGCCTACATACATATGTGCAGGACTATACATACACGCGGACAGCTTGGCCGTTCATTCCGC